AAAGTCAATCCAGCCTCAAATTCTTGATTTGCAAAAGAGCTATCCAGCATAAAGTGAGAAAGAAATAGTCCTATAAAATCAAGTTCTAAAATGGGCCCACAGCAGTGAATAGCCAAGGGCCACTGTTGTGAAACCCTAGCTAGTCCATTCCTTGTGCTCGTCTCATCCTTAAAACAGAGTAAAAACTCAATACTGTTTAGAATGATACCAACTGCCTTAAGAAGGTAAAATTAATTTCTTTAAAAAATGCAAACATCCCTGAGTTATGGAGAAGCTTAACTCTCCTTAGCCAATAAAGCACACCTTGGCATTGAGTAGTCAGACTGCTTTGCATCTAAATGGAACACTCGAGAACTTCAGATCACAGACCACTGCAAGACAGCTGGCTTGGGTAGGTACCCTGGTGGGAACGCTGGGTCTACTACGGGGTAAAGATAAGTGTGGAGGAAAGAGAGAGAGGTGTTAATTCCTTGTGGAAGATATTACTTATATGGATATTTCTAGGTTAAGAAATGACAGGAGAGAAGAGTCGGCTCTGGGTAGCTTGTTGGTGAGGAGGGATAGTGAGAGTTGAAGAGGCACCAAAGACAGTTTGCTCACTGTCAAGCATTTTAGGGGCATCTGCTCAGTTCCAGAGATCAGACGAGAGGCAGAAACGACCTCGACATTCAACTATCTTCTCATTATGCCTGGAAGAGTCTAGAGAGATGGGTAACATGGAGTTTGGGGGGTGTGTGCGCATAATTCAAGTTTGAGATGGAGTCACAACCCCATGCCCCCAGTAATGAGAGAAGAAGATGGCATTCTTTTCCTTCCAAATCGTACATGCCAGGGGCCCAAATCCACACCAGGAGTTCTCTTTCTCTTCCTCTTCCTGAGTAAACTGGGGCCTCTGGACAGTTCTTCAGGCTGAGCCAAGGGTTACTTTGAGAGGTCAACACAGTCCAGTATGTGCAGAGGGTGCAAAAGCAAGCAAGATGTACCAATAATAATCCAGAGCATGATTGAGAAATATAAATGCCTGTGTACAGAGCCAACCCTTACTTATTAAACCTAATCACTCCTTAGCTCTGAGTAAGTAGCCAAACAACTTTGATTTGAATGAACATTGGTATATAAAAGCTTATTTTCATAAGCTTGTAATAATTGTCTTAGTCTTTTCATCAATGTAGTAACACAGAGATTGCCAGTACGCAGCACCCAGGCAAAGACCAAATCCGCTAACTTGGGACTCAGCGCCTTCCCAGCAGGTCATGTTCTTAAAGGTTCTTGATGATGCTCCTTACTTAAAAAAAAAAGAAAAAAAGTGACATGGCCTGGGAAAGGCAGCCTTGATCATGTTGACTCCCTCCTCTGTAGAATGGGATCAATGATAGTTAATGTCCCACTTGCCTTGCAAGGTGTGAGGATCAAATTCTATGAAAATGTTTGGTGAACCAAAAAGTCCAATGCAGAAGTTAGTTTAGTAGAGCTCCTGGTTAGGTTGTACCCCTGTCTTCCAGACAGAAGGCCCAATAAAGAAACTGGCACTTGTAGGTCTCTATATGCCATCTTATCTCACTCAGTACCATCTCATGTAGTGGGTGGTCCTATCCCATTTGACATATGAGGCACATGAAGTTAAATAACTTACCTAACATGAGCCACCTACTAAGTGGTAGGGCTAGGAGTTAAACCCTGGTCTGCAGCTCAAAAACCCAGGCAATCTTAGCACTAGCTTCACATCTACTTTATGACTTAGGTCTACAAGAGAAAAATGACAGCAGCGTTTGATTTTTACATAACCATGAAGGTTCTCATCACCACCCTCATCCTCAAGCTTATGGCTGTTCCAAGGTACAATATAAAATGTGCTAAACCTTCCCAAAGGGCTAGAAGAACTGGTAATAGGAAACAGACAGTACTGCACTGTGGAATGGAGCCCAAGAAATAAAACAAAGGTGGAGACAGTCAGTTGTAATAAAAGTAAAATATTAAAACCTCAATTGCCCTGCCTGCCAAAGACTGCATCCCTCAGCTCCTATCAGGCACACACAAGCCTCAAGGACTGCTGATTGTGATGCAGTGATCCAGAGAAAGCCTGGGAATGTTGTTGTTTTAGCCTCATCTGACATAACTAATAAGTTGCACACTTTACCGATTGTGGGTTAGAACCACCCTTGTCTAGCCATCGGGACAGCAAAGAGCCTACACTGCTGGTTTTTCCTGTGTGTGGTAGAGGTGCCAGGCAGGGGGAAAACAGGCATGAACAAAGAGGTCAGAGAGACCTGGGTGTGAATTCCAACCCCGTCACTCTCTACCTGGTCACCGTGAGCCAGTCCTTAACCTACTCATTCGTAACACTGCTTCATCTCGAAACAGGCACCTCTAAAATAAGTGACGATGCAGGTAAACTGATCAGCAGGTGTCTGAACTCGCAGGCTCTCAAGAGGGACCAGGTTCTCTGACAATTATCATGACTCATGAGCTGGCTCATGTCCACTGGTAAGTAATTGCTTGTTTGATTTTAACAGACACTCTCTGTGGTAAACTAAAGATGACTACAAATTCTTACTAATTTTCCCTTTGAGAGGTGGAGTCCAATCTCTCTTCCCTTGAATCAGGGTTGGTCTTAGTGACTTCTTTGGCCAACACAATGTGGCTGAAGTACTGTTCTGGGATTTCTAAGCGTAATTCATAACAAGACTTGTGGGTTTTGCCCAGGCCTCATAGCCGTGAGCTGTCATGTAGGAAGTCTGAGCACTCTGAGGCCACTGTGCTGTGAGGAAGCCCCACTATGTCATGTGAAAAGACCTCAGGGAAAAACAGATGCTGGGCCAGCCCCAGCTGTTCCAGCTTCCAGCTGTTGGAATTATTCCAGCCCAGATCCCAGACACTAAGTCTCTGCCAACCCCTGCCCAAATTGCACATTTGTGAGCAAAATAAAAGACTATTGTTGATTTAAGCTACAAAGTTTTGAGGTGGTTTGTTATGCAACAAAAATAATCACAACACTTGCTTTATCAGGTTTTTCCCTCCTCAAAATTAAAAACATCAATTTGCTGAGTTATATTAAGTCACATATTAAGTTTATGTTCACTCTGTAGTTCTCAAGTCTATTTTAGACACTGAAAAACATTTTGTTTAGACACTGTTAATCCAGGCATAACTTATTAATTGGCTGACCAATGGCATATATGAGCTATTATGTGCATCCAACTCCTCTCATGAAAAAAAAAATGCTACAAATAACAGTCCTTCATCTCAATGAATTTGTGAAAATCATGCTCTGAAGTCAGACTAATTGAATCTAGTGCCTGAGTGCCCCATCCTCCCAGCTCTGTACAAAGCTGGGCTCCAGCCCCCAACCAGCTACCTAGTGACCAGAGTGGTTGATCGAAGGCCACTACCTGCCTTCCTCTCAACCAGTAGGAAACTGCTCACCCTGGGCTGCTTCCATTGCTAGGCAAGCTTGCAAGGTAAGTGTTAAGACAAAGTAGATTTGTGCAGCGATCCAGATAATCTTTGAGGAAACCCCTTCAGCTTCCACATATGCTCCACTTTGGAAGGGGCCTGTTATAGCCTAAGGCTTGACTATGAATCTGAGAATACTTACCTGATGCCTTTCAGACAATATTGGACCTTATAATATTATGCAAACTTTGGGGCATATAATCAGCTTAGGTGAACTCAAATATTTTGCTGCCTCCCAAATCAGCTACACCCTTTTTCATTTCTCTGTTCTTCTGCCTGCAAAGCCTGTCTCCCCTTCTTGCGGCTGTGTGTGTGTGTGTGTGTGTGTGTGTGTGTGTGTAATCTTCTTTACCCTTCAGATGTCCCCTCTTCCAGCAAGGCAAAGTTAGTCATTCTGTAATGACAGTGCTTCTTCAATCTGTGAAGCCTTTTCTTTAACAAGAAAACTTATCATTAAAAGGAAAAAGAAGAGGGAACAGCAACCCCACAGCCCTATAGAATTCACGGCGAAAGAACACAAGAGAGACCCTATGATTCCTGGCGACATTCCACCAGGCTGAAAACAGGCTGGTGTGATCTGTGTTTCAGGGATTATAATTCAGCAGCAGAAATGAGTCAATTAAAATACCGACCAGAATGCTGCCTGCAGATAAAGTGTTCTGAACTGGGTGCAACATAACCTGAACTGCTAAATTCTAAGGGCCAACTGGACTGGTGATTGGCATCTCAATCTCTTTTCATGCTATTTTCTTGGCAAAAGTTAACAAGGAGCCACTCAGCCTAAGAGAGATAGGTCCTCTATTTACCTTGGCAAGAACCAGACAAACACAATGAACTCCAAATTTTCCTAACTCAATGGCTTTGTTTGACCTGGAGTGGGCAATGCCTGTTGTCCCAAGTGGGTCAATCTGAACATCAAACCCACCAACTGGTATTGGTTTTTACATTCATTCGTCAACAATTCCAGTCTTAAAGGCTATACAGACACTAAGCAGCACCTGGCACTTTGCAGCACAACCCACAAAATACATGGACAACGTGCAGAAAGTCATAATTGGACACTCTTTGCTCTATCACCAAACCTAAAGAAATTACACTTTCAACACTCATTATTTAAGAACATGCAAAACTATGCAAAACATTCCAAGCCAAAAGCTGTACAAACACTGAATGGTAGTGGGTCCCACAAAACGCAACCTACCATTTCCTCTCCATGGGAAACTCACAGAGGGTCACACTGGAACACCCTTTATTCTGCCATAAAAACAAGAGCAAAGATGTTTTTGACACTCGCTCTTGAGTTAATTATGCTGAACATGTCAATTCAGAATTTTTGTAACAGAGTCTACATTACCACGGATACCCAAGACAATAGAACAACTTAATGCTTGATACTTTAAGTACCCAGATGAAGCAGAGGGAAATTTTACTGCCCTCTCTCATTGACCAAACCCTAGTCTTCCTCCAGAAAGTATATAAGTTTCTTGCCCTGGACAAACAATAACATTGATATGTTCTAGGAAAGAAGAAAGGAGATACCAACTTACTTAACAGTTGGCAATAGAGGGCCTGTAAACTTCTCTTCATGGTATCATCTGGTCCTGCTTGTCCTCCAGTTTATTCATGATTCTGTCTGGGAAATTGGGAGAAGAAAATTGTTACATCCGGGAACATAATTCAAGTCAATAATCAGAAAGAACTCCACCTCACAGGATCCTGGTTGTAAAAGCTAAAACATCTGACTCTGAAGAGGAAAATGCTTGGAATGGATACACCACAGTTTAATTTACAACAGTGTGTGTTATAAACCTACTGATTAGTCAACTGGTCAAATCCTGAAACTATGCACACCATGGAAATAAATTTACTAGAGAGTAAGAATTAGGCTTTGGAACTTGAGGTTTCCAATGAATCTCCCCTGAATAGCTAATCTTGAAACAGGAGAAACAAGAAATTGCTAATCTCATTTCTACTATGGAGCTCACCAAACAAACAACCCAAACAGCTGCACTACACTTGAAATTATGCTATATTAAACAACTGTTCTATTACTTTCTGTTAAAAAAGATACCTCTAATCCAGAATATTTGGAAAATACAGCTTAACAGAAATATAGATGAGAATATACAAGAACATACAAATGACCCATCTCTCCAGCCTGTCCTTTGTGTACTTTTACTGGCCTGTCTCATTTATGGATTATACATTCTAATTTCCTCCTCTAGCAGCAGAAACATCTTCCTGTGTTGTACCTATTACTTTGCTACTTTATTTTAAGTGGCACACAGTATTTAAGATAAATTCCTAGAAATGGAATCACAAGGACACAATTTATGGCTTCTGAAATATGTTGCCAAATTGACCTTAATCAATACCAGTAATATGAGGACATCCATTAGACTACAACCTGCCCATTAGACTACAACCTGCTCATTTTGCCAAACAAATAGGCAAATGTTCCATCTCATTGCTTCAGTTTGCATTTTATATGTTTATTTGACATTTGTATTTAAACATTTTTAAAATTCACCTTTGACACAGATTCTTTAGTCAGGCTCCTGAACCTTCTTCTTAGGCCCTTCCAGGTACTTCCTTGTCAAACCTAGTTTTAGCAAGAACCCTGCTAAGTAAGTTTAACCAG